ATGAATACACAAACTATTAATAACCATTCTTTTTAAACAATAAAGACCAGTGTGTGACATGCTATTCTGTATTCCATTTGCACTTGCACAAGTAACGGACTAACGGACTAACACTGTGCTATTAGTGTTCATGACATTTCCTGAATAAAACTTTTCAATGAATAATTTTAAAGTCAGACTGGTAGTTAAACTTCATAAAGCTAAGTGGGTAGGATTCCCCAACAGAAGGTTTCAGGCTGTATTTTAAGAAGCCCCTTGATTGTTCACATTTCTAGGGTTGTTTTTGTTATATTAATTTAAAACTAACCGCCTACACTGATTAGTTCAGGTAAGGTATTAAAGAACAGAATTTTGGCACTGTTTCCCCAGTTAAATATAAGAGACTCTCAACAAGTAGTAACATGCTCTCTAAAACTGCATTTATTTAATAATTACTAGGGTATAGTTAAAGATAAGTGTCTTGCATGTGTGCGTATATATATATATATATATATAAAATTTTACAAGTTACGAAGAGTATGCCAACATATTTTTTACATCACTGTTTATTAAAAAAATCTTTCTAAAATTTATTTCTTTGAAAAAAAAAAATCTGTTGATGCTTTTGCAGCTTCCGAAATGGTTGTCTAGTGAGGAACAGTCAAATATTCTCAGTGAAAAAAATCTTTTGGCAGATAGAGTTCTAATTTTATTAAGAATTTACTATTATGTAATTAGGCAGGTTTGAATGGTTATCATTAAGGAAAGTTCCATTAATATTTAGCCTGTGTGAATGTGCTGTGTTTCTATACAACGAAAGTGCTGTCCTTAAGAAAGCTGTTTGAAACTGTATTTTTTAATTAAATAAAAAAAAATCAAATTTAACTTTTCTAGGACTTGGACCACTTAGGACACATTAATGCCCAGGAACTGTAGGACCTTAAAAAAAGTAAAGTGCTGAAAATTACTATAGCACTGATGGGAGTGAGGAAGAGAGTGCTCCTTCTTTTTTTCTGTTATTTTTTTCCCACTTACTGCAGCATGTGATTTTTTGAGCTAAGCATAACTTATTTTTAAAAAGCTTTGAGAACTCTGTATTTTGCTGTTTTTCGCTAAGCTGCATGACTAGCTGGATGTGTGTGGGAGGGTTTCACATCCATGGGCTTTGCACAGATGTCATGTGTCACCCACAATACACCAATTTGGGGCTGCCAGCAAAAATGTCCTCTGTATCCAAAACTCCCAGACAGAAAGTGGATTAATTTCATCATACAGCATTTTTACTGTACTTCTTTTACTTTCCTGTGCTTTCTCACAGAAAATGCTATTATTAATTATGGATAAGATTGTTCAAATGCCCCTGTCATTTTATCTGGCTACTAGAACAAATGAGTCAGGAAACTAGCTGAGTTTTTGTTGTTTTTTTTTTTACGTTTCTGTTGGGGTACAGGAACCTGCATTGGTATGTAACTTTCCCAGTAGTGAGAATTTATATTTGAGAAGCAGAAAGTTAGGAAGTTAGCTTTTTACAGAAAGCAATGGCTCTGGCGCTGTCACTGCTCCCGACTGCTCAAAGAGCCATGTAAGTATCCTAAGCAACCGTGGATGTAATGCAGCCTCCCTGAGAGTCATCTGCAGGACTCTGGAAACCTCTTGATCCATCCTTAATATATTTCTGTTTGGATAAAAAAAAATTTTTTTTTAGTCACTGAAGGCGCATGCCCACTTCAAATATAAACCCAATTAATCAACTTTATTTTTTACAGATGCAGCCCTACAAGTGTGTTTATATCCTAGAATACTTAAGGCTACACCAGCACTTGCAGAAATAAAGATTTAGGATAAATTCAGCCTCACTGAATTTTTTATTGGCCTCTACCAAGGCCAAGTATATATTAACAAACCTCCCCCCACCCTTTTTTTTTCTGGGATGTAAAGTTGTTAGAGAAGTATCATAAAATAGTTGTCTTAATCTTGTTCCTTGTCATTAAGTAGTTTCAGGAAATGCTTGTTACCCAGCAAATAATTTACTTTAAGTCTTTGTGAAAATACAGTAGCTCAAGTACTGTGCAAACAGAGAGGGGTAGCAGTGTCCTCTGGTTAGGAGTGGTCACTGAGTTGTTGTGGTCAAACTGAAATGCATGAGGTGAAGCTTTTTTATTCTCTCCATCCACATTTGTGCTTTATTGTTGTAAGGAAGTAAGGAAAGTAAAACTAGTTTTACTGAGTTATACTAAGGATAGCAAAATTATCTTTCTTGTAAAGGTCACAGTCAAAGCTACAAGCTGTCGAAAATAAAAACGCAGTATGATCAAGTTCTCTGATTAATCCTTTCAATTTCAGCCTTTTTTCTTTCCTAATCCTATCAGCGTTAGATCCTAAAAGTTGAGAAACTGAAGTGGAAGCAGATTTACTGAGTTTAATGCTAAAACTGTACAGACTGCAGGCGCATAGTGAGAGTATTCCCCTGCCATAAAGTCTAACGAGTTCCTGGGCTAAAGCTCTTGTAAAATGTGCTTTAGCTGTCTGCTGGGGGTGGTTTTGTCCTTTGCTTTTTATGGGGCAATTCCTGGCTGCTTAACCAGGGTACATGAGTGTGCTTTCTGTCTGATGGCTGTTTCTGAGAATTGCTTCCCTGCTATCCCTGAACTTGTCCTGATTGTGCACAGAATTTTCACGGAGAACATACATTGCTGCTAGTTGATCATACAAATCTATATATGAAATCCAAGGTTAGATTTTAGCTTTTTTTGTTCTTTGACAGCAGTTTTTAGGTCATTTTATTGATATTGACAGACAGGTGCATGTTTCTAACCTTATGAATTTTGCATTTATTAAGAACACAGATCTAAATTAGTCAGTTAAAAAGCAAAGGGCCTTCCTTGAAAAAACCTTAAACGTTTCCATGATATGAAGAACTAACAGCAGGAGGATTGCATTTGTCCTGGCATGCAGGTGGATGGAAACAGGGTAATGTTCATCTCCTGCAGCATTAGTTTGGGTTGTGGTCAGACAAGATGATAACAGCTGTCAGTGACCTGGGTTAGCCCAGAAATGTTGTTGCTTTGCCTTTGCCTGGCCAGAATTGTTCCCACAGGAAGGGCTGAGTCAGAATCCATGCTACTCTCTTGGAAACATTGCCTGCTGCGGTAGTTCTTTCCGCATTTCTGATGTGCCCTTGCAGAGCCAGACACTCCCTTGGTAGCTCTTCACAGGGCTGGCGACTCCAGGGAGGATGTATTTCCACCTTTGCATTTCTGGTGCCATTTCAGTTTCAGGGATGTGGTAGTCACTGCATTCTTATGTTGCGTCTGGGAACTGAAGGAGGTGGTGCAGCTTCGTCCTGTCTCCAGTGTACGTCTATTTGCACAGTCGTGGCCAAGCCTGGTTTCTATAGTCTGGAAATTAGACTGCACGACACAAAGGAGCACAGTGATTTATGCATCAACAGTCTCTCTTCTTGCCACAACATTTCATTGTTCTTTTCCCCTAAATCTGTAATTACATGTCTTTGTCCTTCTACTTGCTGCTTCACAACAAATATAATTCTTACACAGGCTTTGTGAGTGAAAATAATCCCACTCAATTAGCACAGATCATAAACTCTCATTGTATGGGAGCAAGCAGTTGCAAATGATGTGTTTGAAATTTGGGGCATTGCATCCTACTTTTTTTCCTCATTTTGTAGGTTCTCTTCCAGTAGTGCTGCTTGCTGGTGGGCTCCTTTAGCAAAGCAAAAGGCTGGGAGTAATCTACGCCTACAGTTTTGTTCCTGAACCTTAATATTCTAATAAGTTTCCAGGAAGGCTGCCTGTGAATAAGCTAGATTTACTATGTGTGCTGTTTAGCGCTAGCTCTTGTAGAAGGGTGTTCATTAGGCAGCAATTGTTTCAGTCAGTTTTTCAGGCCGATTCCCCATTAAGGAAGCTCTTTGGAAAAGGCTGGCAGACAGGAGAAAGAGAAAAGAGAGTCAGACTTTTAGGTCTGTGCATTAGAGGACATTGTATCATTGGCTGTAGTTCTAAAACTATGCTTCCTGGCATTAATTGAGCAAATATATCTTAAGGAGAAAAGAAATGAACAAACGAACCTGCTGTGGCTTTTGTACTTGTGAGAAGGAGGCTTCTTGACTTGTGGATAAAACAGTACTATATGTAATTATTTATATTTTTCATTAGTGAAGAAGTAGTGAGATTTGCCTGGTAACTAATATTGATGAAAAAGATAACATATCAAGTCTGACCCCAAACACTAAAGCTTTCTGTCAGTCTATGTGAGAAGTCTCCGTGTATACAAATGCAAAAACACACCCGTATTTCATTTATAGCACAAGGAAAAAAAAAAAAAAAAGATAAATATAATGATGAGTTTACAAAGAAATCACTGTAGTGTAGCAATCACACTATCTTGAAAGTGTTTTATTGGAAGCATGTGCTGTCCTTGGCTCAAGTAGATCTCCAGTCCATCCTAGACCTGTAAAAATCATCCTGATGAGTGACTGATGTTCTTTTGTGCTATACCAGTAACATTAATCAACGTTTCAATATGTTAAGTCTGAAAGTCTAAGTTGCTTCCTTTCCCATGTGGCTGCTCCAAATGAGCAATCATTCTTGTCATTCTCCCATATCCAAAATTAGCAAAATATGTGCAAGAATATTAGAAATGTTACCAACGTGGAAAGACAGGATTGTAGCCTGCAATGGCTGCTGCAAGTGGCCAAATGTGGAAGAAACTGTGGTGCTGCCCTAGATACAGAACCTTCTAGAGTTCCCAAAACAGAGAACTTTGGCTATAAAACTCAATCCATCCGTAATTTCAAAGATCTAAATAAATATCTTGCTGATATTGAGTCAGGCCCAGACTATTAAGATCTAGTTTGTTTACACTGTCATTTTGGCTTTGGAAACTGTGTATTTGTTCCTTTCTGTCCATTTTAATTGCTAGTTTTCTGAATGAGATTTTATTAAGTGTTTCACATTTTCCTTTTTTTCTTTCCTCTTTTTTTCTTTTTCTCTTTTTAGATTCCTTCCTGGACAAGGATTGGTACTATATCCACAGATAGGAGACAAACTGGATATTATATGCCCAAAGGTGGACTCTAAAACTGTTGGCCAGTATGAATATTATAAGGTCTACATGGTTGATAAAGACCAAGCAGATAGCTGTGCTATTAGAAAGGACAATACACCTCTACTCAACTGTGCCAAGCCAGATCAAGATGTTAAGTTTACCATCAAATTTCAAGAATTCAGCCCTAATCTCTGGGGCCTGGAATTTCAGAAGAACAAAGATTATTACGTCATATGTAAGTTCAAAATAACAATCGTTCATTCTTTATATTATCATTGTTTGTTCCTTTGTATTTTGCCTCATTTGCTATAAGCAAACCAAGAAGACTCCAAATGGGTTTGTATTTTTTTACCTGAAAATATTTTCTTGGCAACATGTTTTGATATTACTGCTAATTTTCATAGGGTCTCTGTCTTTTTTTTCCTTGATTTGTGCAAATCAAATCAGACTGTACTTCTATGCCTGCAAAGAGCTGCTCCTTTAGCGCACAATATCATGTCCTGTATTCACACTGAAAGGTTGTGTGCAGCTTTTGAAGCTGGAGAGAGACTTTTTATATGGTCTTATATTGACAGTACAAGGTGGAATGTTTTAAAGCCAGAAGAGGGGAGATTTAGTTATATGTTAGGTAGAAATTCTTTATTCACAGGGTGGTGAGGCACTGGAACAGTTTGCCCTCAGAAACTGTGGATTCCCCATCCCTGGAGGTGTTCAAGGACAGGTTGAATGGGAACCTGGATATTCTGATCTGGTGAAAGGCAACCCTGCCCATGGCAGGGAGGTTGGAACTGGTTGGTTTCTGAGGTCTTTTCCAAGCTAAGCCTTCCTGTGAGCCTTTCCTGCATTTTCCTTTCTTTCCTGTAAGCCTTTCCTGCATTGGCTGATTTGCATTTACAATGAAGTCACCTACTAGTATGTCTTATTTCTCCCATCTTCTTGAAACTGGATTGTTCAAATAGGCTGATAACTATTTCATGTAATGTCTGCAACATTATATATTTCTTCTTTTCTTAGTTTAAATTATTGGTAATTTTACCAGTGCACTAAGTAAGTACTTCAAAAATGGGAATGGAAATGCTTTACATATAAATTAATTCTAGTTGCAGTCATAGTGGAACATGCTGTGTCATTATGTGGAATATAAGTTGTGTGTCATAGAAACAAAGTAAGAATTCATGGTATTTAATATATATAGAAATAACATATTTTACTAAATAACAAACATGGGAGATATAAAACACCGCTTGCTTTTTAAGGTTTGACAAAGCGATCACTTAACTCAGTTTAGTCAGGGAGTAAATAAAAACCTGATGCTACTTACATAGCATTTAGCTTTGTCAAAGTTCCCACTCAAATCCAGTTGGATTTACTGGAGTAAGATTAGATGCTGAGAGATAGTTGTCTGAAATGCCACAGAGAGTGTGCAGAATAAAAATGGCCATTCTCAAATCATTGGTTTTGATGGTGAAATACATTATTGAGTTCTAGTTTTTAGAAAACTCACAACAAACCAGCTATAATGGAGTGAATTGCACTGTTACAGTTATTGCTTGAAAACTGTGGGCACAAACAGGGCTTTCTGTCACATTGTCAGTTCTGTCTTATCCATGTCATGGATTTACCCACAGAATTATCAAGTACGAGTCATTTTCATTAATTTTGTATAATTATTTCATTACAGCAAGAAGACATAATAGACGTTGCGCTTTCTGAAGCGAGAGTTTGGTTGATAGAATTTGCTGAGACTTCAGTCTAATGCCTCAAAAGTCACACTGGCCTTGCAATAATACCGGACTGCCTTAGAATATTACCTTCTTTGCCCAATTTGGCATAAACGAATTACTGATTTATCATGTATTGCTAGCCTACTAACTCATCTGAAGCAGAATACCTCTACATTTCAATAGGTTGAAAAAAAAAAGCCATGGTAATCCAACCATCCTTAAACTAAAACTCTCTGGGCTTTTTTTTGTTTGTTTGTTTTTCATGGAAGAAAGCAACGTAATCAAAATGCCCTCAAAAACATGAAGAGGGGCAGGAAACTAGGCTGTGTCTCAGCTAGGACACTACAGAGACACTAGGACTAGACAGCATTTTAACAGTTTGTGTTCAGAAGCTTATGACCTAGTACATACAGCCTTGTCAGATACAAGTTCTGGTAGTCAGGTTGTTTACTGTCTTTTTTTAAGTAATACAATGCATCTTAATCATGTACGCAAATTAGCCCATAAATCATTTGTGTAAGTCCTTATTACCAGACCTGTAAATCACCAGCTGTGCTCAGACCCGAATGAGAAGTGCACCCCATCTCCCTCTCACTGACTCAGAAGCACAAACACTGCTCCCCTTTCTTCTCTTTCCTTTCTGTTTGTTTGGGAATTTTGTTGGTTTTGTTGTTGATGTTTGGAGTATTTGGAGGTGAGGGGGATTGCTTTGAAGCGAATACATCAGTGCATTTTATACGCCAGCTTTTGATTTTGAGGTATTCTTGGATCTTGTATTCCCCTGAGTAAGGGGCATCAAACAGCCTGAGATGCCAGTTTACTGAGTCCAGCATTGGTTCAGCGCTGGCTGTGGCTATGTCTTATGCTGCTTATGCAGGCATGCTGCTGTCAGCCCTTAAGTTCTCTGCATTGTCATGTACCCTTATCATCTTGCCATTATTTGAAACCATGGTATGTTTTTTGTTGTTGTTGTTTTTTCTTTTTTTTTAATCTAATTATATGTGGTTTGTGAAGCTGTATTATACAGTAAAATCTCTATTTACGTTAAGGTGTTAGTCATTTTGGGAGCCTTTAAGTAACAAAGCAGAGGAGTTATAACACAGGATAAAGAAGCTTCCTGAACCCTGTGTGCCTTTAGGGAAATGTGATTGTACATGAATTCTTCAAGCCATAATTTTTATATCACTTAGATGTATTCATGACAGATATAGTAGAAGAACTTTTCTACTCACTTCTTCCCTGGGTCTAAGCACATAAAAGATGTAACTTTTCTCATTCCCCATTTCACTTTTTTTCTTTTTTTTTTTTAAAGTAGAAATGATTGTAAGTTTCAGATACTTCTTTTAATATTTAATGGTATTTTAGTCCTAAAATAAGCTAAATCTAATCAATTTCTTGCAACAACAGCAGGGCAACATACTCCTCAGTATACAGGTTCCAGTATTCAAAGAGTTAATTCTGTGAATTGTAGTACTTAGAAAGATGATACTGAATAGTATTGTGTAAGGGAATAAGTGATGTAACAGAATGTCCTTGCTTTTCACTTCTTTACCATCATCAGTTTTTGGTTCCTGGGAAACTAATAGATTCATTTTCCAATAGCTACATGATCTCTTTTCAGCAGAAGGTCAAATGCCCTTGAGATCATGGATATATTAATGTTAGATTATCTTAAAATATTCAACCATTTAGCCAACATATCATAAGTCTCTAAGGAAATCCTTAATCAAATGCATGAAGATACACCATGCCAAACAACATAAATACCTGTGCAAAGGGCAAAGTTAAGCGGAACAAGGGTATGTAGGTTTGAAATTCTAATGTTTGCATCAAAAAATCCTTTTATGTCTTTGCGTGCTTTAGGAATGAATTATAGTTTTCTGCTGTGTGGATTGCTCAGAATGAATGGGAACTTCCTTGATTGTAGGAGATGGCTCTGCAAGTTTGGGTTATTGTGTAATTGCTTCGATACCACTCAGCTGCAGCATTTCTTCTATGGGTAGAAGATGTGGTAGAGCAGTACAGGCATATGCACTGTGCCAAAGATGTTTTGTTATGGTGTATAGGAATTGTCCTGATCTCTTCCTGACAAACTTGGCCTTTAGTCACAGGGTATGGGGAGAGCTGCAGTATGCTGAGTTTGCAATGATGGAGTGCCTCAGGGAACCCTGCAAGAAGCTGCACAGCCTGAGGGAAAGGAGTGCTGTGCTGCCACTTGCCTTCAGACCACTGTCATGCTTCTAAGATAGTTTGACCAAGCAAGCCCGTCCTCTTCTCACTTCATCTCTTCTATATAAAATGAGGGTTATATGCCAACACCATCAGTGTAAAAAAAAATCATACATTGCTTAAAATGAAATGAAATTTTACCTGCTCAAAATTTGTTCGCTGAAATAGTGGATTTTTTTGGTCAGTGAAGAATATTTGGGATTCAGGGAAGGGCTGCAGAATGGTCCTGCAAAAGGTTTCTCTAAAGTGCTTGCTCTGCCTGCAACTTCATTAGCCAAGCTTGCTGAGCTAGTGATGTTCATTGGCTTTGACACTGGCAAAATGCAATATACAGCTTTCCTTAAACGTTTTTTTGGAATTTTTTTTTTTTTCAAATGACCCACATACATAAATGGCCTCTGGCTTAAATTAAAAAATATATGTATTCAACTCCTGACTGATTTAAAGGGCTATACTGCCTAGCAGTGCTTTGTTTTGGATAAATTCTTTTAATAGCGTGGTGGCTTTTAAAATGGAAACAGTTGTTCTGAAACTTTAGCATTAGCTGGGTTTAAAAATTCACAAAGCTTTTATGTTTTCACTTTGTCATTCTGTTACAATTAAAGGGCAATAACTGTCTGAGGAAGAACACATTAAAGGACAATATAGATTGCACCCTGAAATACAGCCCAGTTGGGAAGAATAAATGTCTTTGCATGGCCAAATAGATTTACATTAAAATGCTATTTTAGTATTCTGACCAAACACCAGCTAATCTGCCTGGCTGGACATTCTGACACCTCTTTGAGATAGGATTCACTCTTCATTCCCATTGCTGCAAACACCCAGCAAGAAGTACCCTAAAGAAAACAGTAAATTTTCCTTTGTTTTGAGGTTAATTCTCAACTAGCTAAAACTGGGACAAAAACAGTATTAAAGTTTCAATTTTATTTCTTTTGCAATACAGACGTTACAGATGCTTTTTTAAAAAAAGACAGTACAGCTCAGCAGTCAAATGTTATTTATTTTTTGGTGGGGCTTATAGTATTAAGGAAAGCCTGTGTGATAATAGCCACCCTGATTTCAGTTGCACAAAGATCCATTTTTTTCTTTCCTTTCTCTTCCTCCTCCTTCAGCAAATTAGATAAATGATTCCTTAGTGTAAAATGATATCCAGAGGTCAGTCGCTGACTTTGCTGAGAGTCTTTTAAGGGATATATCAGCAATGCCACTTAGCTCTTGTTGAATTAAATATAAATACAGCTCATACAAATAATATTATTGGAGAAGAAAATCAGTGTCT